ACAACTTACAAAGTATGGCATTCTACAGGATAAATGTCAAATACTATTGAATTTTGCAACTTTGAAGTTCGCGTGTACTAAATTTGGCGATTTTTCAAAACCGTAAAACAGAGAAATTTAGTCAGTACTCGCCAAATTTTTATTTTCAATGAGCTTTGACTTACTTGGTATACAAAGTCATTATTTTCTTCATCTCCGCTCACAGTGAGCATCAAATCTATTTTGGCAGTTTCTCCAGCCTGGAATAACAGCATTAAACATCGTTTTCAATTCAGAATTATTTAAAACTAGAAATATCGATATGCACGGCATACTTAACAAATTTCGCGCATTTTTTAATTGTATGTCCTCTTATCGACACACCGGTTGACGTCTTAAAATGTTCAAAACTCGCTGAGCGAACTCGGTGAGCTCACTGCAAACTTACAAGTCTCGTGCCGTCTAGGATACCGTAGAGCGGATTTCGTATTACTGTGCAAAAGCACTGATCACAACACGGACACGGCACGGCACGGTCACGGAACCTCGCCTTAGAGGCGATTTCGTATGACTGGGAAACGGTGATGACGAATCGCGTCCGTACCGTAACTGTATCGTAGCTGTATCGTATTCTTGGATTCTGATTTGTTGGCATTTTTTCTGCTCACACCTGATTGGATTGATTTGTATGTACCGTAGTTTGTCAAACTGTAAGTTCGATTGTTGATTGGATGAAGCCGACACTTGCCGTATCGCGCGTTACGGTACCGTAAGCTGTACCGTAAGTTCGATCGTTGATTGGGTAAATACGGTGCTCGCGTGATACCGTACTTTAGCCGTATCGTAAGCGCGATTCCTGATTGGCTGAGAGACTTTCTAATGACAACTGGTCTACGTCATCTTGTCACACAACACTAGTTGCTGAATTCTCGCCACCTGTTTTGCGAAGTTTTCGACAGAAAATTCGATCAGAAAAGCCTTTTAAGGATGAATGTCAATGGGAATCAGTTTTTTGTAAGTGGAGATATTATAAAATGACTGGCAGACGTTGAGATTTGAAGATTATTATATCAATATTCCTCTATTTTTTCAGTATTTCGAGACCTCAGTGTCGATTTGTTGAGAAAGTGTAGTCGAATCTTGGTATCTTGATGCCAGCTTGATAAAATGATCTTTTTGATAAATAAACCAGTTGAATTAGCTTTTGTTTGTATTTATTTGAGCACTTTTAAGCAGGGAGAATATTTGCAATTCATTGTGTGAAAGTTTTTTAATATTTTGTCAAACTTTCCGTATTCACTCGCGCGTGACATGTTCAGTCGGTAATTTTCAAGCATTACTTGAATTTTTTTGTACTGCTTGCTTGACAATACCACTTAAATGTTTTGTTGGGAAAATTAGCCTTTTTTCGTTGTGATTATCATTATTTCTTGCGATTAACTTAAGAAAGGATCGAAGGAATCCGTATCGTAGCCGTACCGTAGCGGTATCGCGTCAGCATCGGTTTCCCACTCATACGAAAACGACTCTACGAAATCCGCTCTATGGTACGTACCGTAGGGTACAATTCATATTACGGGCCCACGCCATCCGAGTTGGCTACACCCAAGCTAGTCCATCCMGAAAGTCGGCAGAAACCCGAGTAAAATAACTACCGTAACACACATACTAATCAACCAATCAGAACTCGACAATTCTGACAAGTATGTTAAAGATACTCATAAAGTCAAACCTTCATTGTCTTTAGCTGTCTTTTAATTGACAAGAAACTTGAACTCTTAGAAAGCTTATGCGTAGGGATCATTAGCGGTCCTGGTGTCCAAGATGGAATATATTCTTTGTTTTTATGATGCATAGCCTATAGTACATGAAACGTACATAAGAATCCATTTTGTAAAACTGATTTATAAGAAAATAAATAGATAAACAAGCAACTAAACATGAGAAACTGGTAGATAGGGGTTGAAGAACGAAAAACAAAAACAGTGGCTTCTGAGCACACAATTTCTCGTGTGCACATGATGATCGCTCTCCGATTGCTTTTTCACAGGCTGATGATAGCGCATTTACTAGAAATTAGTCTCCAAATCGTTTATTCTTGGGAACTAATAAAAATTGCACATAATTTCAATGAATTTACCAGGATATAGAGAGTCTTGACATTAGAGGGTATCTTAGGTATTTCATAATGAATGACTCCATCGTAAACTGTGTATTGCTTCTCAAAGATTTTAACAGAAAAATCCTCAGTACGAGCTGTGATGTTGACTTTCTCATTGTTCGCGGGCTTTCCATCAATAGTAGTCACTGACAACTGTTAACAACAAAGTTAAAGAATACAGTGAAAAAACTAAAAACATAGTAAGGATTAAGTAGGCCTAACCTGCACTGAATTATGTGATCTGAAATATATTACGCACACTTATTAACACTTAACTCACTTAAAAGTTATTTTAGTGATTTTGGTACACGAGAGTGCTCATCGTGTTCAAAACTGTAAATTCGACCATATAAAAACTGTAACATTCCATGGCCGCAGACTTACCACATCAGTGAATGGTAAACCGGGCCGGAAATATCTTGTTGTGCCTCGGTTAGAAGTAATCTTTAATCTAAACGGCTCTATTTTGGTTTCTGTGCGTCCTGACTTTGTTATTCCAGTAACTTCCTCAGTAACATTCGCAGTTATTGTGCAGTTGTCGCTAGGTTGACTAAAATAGGAGATCCTACTAAGATTAGTCAGTCCAAGATCTTCGTTACTGAATGAGAATTGAACACAGCCTTTAATCTGAAATACA